TTGCTTCATTTTGGATGCATGCAGGCAGAGCAGATTCCTAAGCCAGATGGTAATGGATGGAAGGTAAAAAAGTGTGAATATATGAAGAATTATACAGCACTAGGTGTTGTCCTGACCTTTTTGAATGTGAATGCAAAGCCAGCTGTTAAACACGAAGGTGCAAGTGTTGTCATGAAAAGTTGCTTTGCACAGGTGCTTGCAACTGACATTGATATGTCCGCAAATCATACCATGCTTAATGAATCATCATATGAAGAATGATGATGAATAAAAATATGATGAAGAAATATGGAATGAAGACATTCAGGGGTGTAAGGAGAAGAACTAGTTGTGGTGTAGAACTGTAAATATTACTGGACCCTGCAAATTACCATCATTTATGACATAGGATGTATCAAGTGTGACACAAACAAGGTTACACTAGACCTTATATAATGGCATTGGTACTGCATAAAATGTGTTCCTTGATAACAAATCAGTTAGTTCAATATGAACTTGTTGATAATTTGTCCATAATTATACAATGATGGACATTATCAATTATTATATAACAAACATTTACTGAAATTATGCTTTTTTACATACACATGAGTACATTATGGGACAAAGGAATGTGCTATGAACAGAAAATGATTATTCTAGTTGTTATTCTAAATAATAAACATATAAATAGTGTGAGATGAGCGGGAAAAGTAAACAGACAGACAGAGCAGGTAAGAAAGTAAAATCACGAGAAGTAGAAGTTCGGCCAAAGAAAGTTAAATGTAAAGTTAACTGCCGTAATGATTAATATGTTAGAGGAAAACTAACATGTAACACGTGATGAGTTTCTAGGAGGATCGGGGAACATCTTGAATAATCCAATATTTGCTAGACACCCTCTATTCCTGTATATAAGCGCGCCAGATAAAGCGAGACGAATTAATCGGAACTGGGTAGCAGATAGATAGATTGAAGATATAGACACAGTTAATCGAGTGAAGTGAGTGGTAGTGACCATAATTAAAGTGCGTGAGTCATTGTGAATTATAGCGTGTGTTTAAGTTAAAGTGACTGTAGAAATTAAGTGTATTGCAAAGTTGAATTGAGAATAGAATAATCTAGTTTTATTTAAAAAAGGACTTCTATCGTAGAAGTTTCTCGGAAATAATTTCTACAGAAAATCAACAAACGAACACAGACGTAACAAACTAGTGTCAGAAGTGGGATGGAAAAAGAAGAAGAAGATGGAAACGAGAGGTGGCAAATCAAACTACAGCTTAGCAGAATGGCAGCAAAACAAGAACAGCAAAAGAAACAAAAAGAACGAGAAAATAAACAAGAAGAGAGACAAAGGCAGTTGCAAGAAAACCTGCAACAGTGGCAGCTCGAACAGCCAAATAAACAAGAAGAGAGATTAGAGCAGTTGTTGGAGGAGAAAGAAAATAAACAAGAACATAGTCTCCAACAATTGAGAGAAAGACAGAGTACACAAATGGAAAACATTAGTCAATTTCAAAGTGAATTAAATACATTAAAAGATGATTTACTGTCTTTTACACAAGGAGGATATATTAGCCATGGACATAATCACCCTCAGACATCGGGAAGCCCGTTCCAGACCCCGCAGCTAAACCCTCATGCAGACATATTCAGTCCTGTTAGAAGTCACATCCCAGATATGATTTTCACCAACAGGGGTGATCCAGTACGAAGGAAGCCACAGGTATTCGATGGGAAATCATCGTGAGAAGCATATAGAGCACAATTTGAGCTGTTGGCAGAAATGAATGGATGGACAGAGGAGCAGAAAGCAGTGTATCTGGCAACGAGCTTGAAGGGACAACCACTGGAAATACTTGGTCAGTTGTCAGCAGACGACAGGCACAACTATAGAGCACTGGTAGCTGCTCTAAAAATCAGGCATGGAGCTCAAAATCAGTCCGAAGTCTACAGGGCTAGGTTTAGGAGAAGAATCCGTGCTAAAGGGGAGAGCCTGCAAGAACTGGTACAGGATTTGGAAAGTATGGCACACAAGGCCTACCCAACGGTGCCACCCGATGTCCTCAAGTTGTTGCTGAGAGATCAGTTTGCAGACACCTTGGACAATCCACAACTGAAAATACAAGTAAAGCAAGCACACCCCTCTACTATGCAGGATGCATCTTATGTTAAGTCCAGCACAGAGGTACCTAGGTTGGTACAGTCATCAGAATTCAAGGCCAGAAAAAGGGCAGCTTTCAGAGAAGTTTGAGTGACTTTGCTGGCACTGTAACAAACCTGGGCACAAGAGAGCTCAATGCCAGCAACTTCAACCCAGGGAAGATACCACGGCAGGAAAGGCTGCTATCCAGAAAGGTTGTTGGAACTGTGGAGAGCAAGGACATATGAGGAGCCAGTGTAAGAAAAATACTACCAACAAGTGAGCCTTGGGAAAACCAGTAGTGGTTGGTGTTGAGGGACGCCCACCAACCACCATTCTGAAAGTTCCAACAGCTAAGTGTAAAATGGAGACCACACATAGTGTCTACGTGATAGGAAAGCTGGATGGCCAAACGTGCAACTTTCTCATAGATTCTGCATTTCAGCAAACCCTTGTGAGTGTCAAGGTGCTGGATCACAAAGGAGTACCAGAAGCCATACAGAGGCTCTGTGATGTAACAGGACATTATGCAAGGTTGTGGGGACCAGTGTAGGTAACTATTGAGCTCATGGGCATAAAGGACAGACACAAAGTATACTTGGCTGACATTGAAGACCAATGCATATTAGGGTTGGACTACTAACTACCGAGGAAGTGTGTAATTAATTTTGATAAAATGACGTTTGGGAACAATAAAGGCCAAACCCCGGTAAGTGTTAAAAGAGAGGTTGAACTAACCAGGTGCCATCAAGCTGAAGTCAAAGTGACTGAAGGAGTTGATGATGGTGAATTAGAAACAAGTATAGATATTAAAGCAGAACAGGAGAAAGACCAAGATTTGAACCAAATAATTGATTTTCTACAAGCAAGTGTTTTGCGCCCTCCTTCGGAGAAGGTGTCTACCTTAAGCCCTGTGACAAAGAACTATTGGGCACAACGGGACCAGTTGAGACTTGAAGATGGTATTCTTCTCCGGAGATGGGAAAGTGACGACCTGGCAAACGGTTATACCGAGAAATTAAC